GTAGGGAAAATTAACATAGCTCCATTTGGACTGACATTAATTTTCCACAAACTTAAAATTAAAGAATGAAAAAGTTTATTTTAAACCTCAAAATGTGAAACAGAAACTGAATTTTGAGAGATATTGCTCTTTTAAATACACTGCAAAATCCAGGCTGCTATTGAACAAGGACGACCTCTTTTGAAATATCGAGCTCCCTATATTTTAGATAATGTTCAAAGACTTTTCTAATAAAGGCATTGGACATTAAAAGAATAAAGCAAACACTGAATTAAAAAAATTAAATTAAAAAAAAATTTAACCCTATAAAAAAGATCATGACACAATATAACCTAGAATAGAAAGATACCTGCAGCATCTGAAAATGACTGTTTTAAAAAATAATTATCTTTATTATTTTTAAATTATTTGAGGTTTTGTGATTTAGTGCTTGAGTTTTATAAATGAAATAACCCAATTTGCACATATTATAATGTTCATTAAAACTAATCATTAAAGGGGAAAATACTCTACATTGCAAAGTACAGTTAGGTTCTAGATTTGCTGAAATTAAATAAATTACCACGTAAGAAATGTTGGCTATACTTTGAAATTAACACTGAAAATTTTCAAATATCTCTCTCGATAATTTTACCTAAAGTGATTTATTTTAAAAAAACAGTAAGAGCTACAAATTGAGACTAGCTTAAAGAGATAAAAGCCTAGCATCTTATTGTCCTCTCCTGATGAAAAAAGTATTCTTTTAATACTATACTTATCTATAAAAGACATATTTTTTCTTGTTAAAAAAAATAATTTTCTGCATTACTTAATAGGCTGGATCGAGGCTTAAAAAAAAGCACAATTATTTGTTTAATACAGTGTTACACGACAGAAGAAAAATGAAGAAAAAAAATTTTGCATCTCCTTTATGTTATTCACAATAGTTTGAGGCTTTCATTCTCTCCAGTTAGTGCAATTTATTTTTCCACACGTCTCAGCAGCAAACAATGTTATTTAGACTCTAACCTGGCACGCTACAACCTCTGGCCTGCCCTTGAGCCCCTCCACTGCAAAGGTCTCCAGGTGCAGTTTGGGTAGCTGCAGGGTGAAGTCATTCCTACTTGCCGCAGTCCGTGACAGCGAGATCTGATCTCTGACCTAAAGGGAAAAAAACAGCATCAATGGTAATTCCCCTTCAGACACATTAACTGGGATGAACTGGGTCCCCTTGAGCCCACTGAGTGGACTTGCATTGATCGCTGGACCTGAAATCCATGAATAAATTTAGGACTAATTGATTTTTCGTTGCAAATAAATCTCTAATTCGGAGTGCTGGGGGAGAATGTTAAGAAGAAAAAGCATCCTCCTGCTTGAAATGAGGGAGGGAAGAAGAGTCACTAGAGCTCTTCTGATCAAGAGGTTCTGAATTATTTTTCACTGTTGCACCCTGAAAAGAATAAGGAAAGAAGGAAAAAACAGCCACAAAATAAAAAACAAACAGTAACATCCTAATTATTATCACTTTCTTAATAAGATGTTTAATTTAACTGGTATTAACTGATATATAGAGAGATAGATACATATATAGATATACGTATATATATATATATTTGACAAGGTGATTATTAGGTACTAGTCTTTGAAAAATAACTTCAATAATTGGTATCCTGAAATAAAAACAAATATACTCGACACCCAAGAATACTTAAAAATATACCAGCAAGAGATTTGTTTGCCCTTTTTACTCTTACTAAACTTGAGTCTTATTGATTAAATACATATAAACCAACTTGGTAATGCAACTTCTAAATAAGATAATGGATAAAATCGGTAGTATTTGTACTCTATTTTAAGTATTCAGAAAAGTAACAATACAAACAATTCACAGATACAGGAAAAATACCAGTTCTCTATCCAGTATAGATATCACGTGGAGTTGATATTACACTGCCACCTTCTGGAAAAATGAGAAAATACTCCCTTTATGATACAAATACTAGATATAAAACATTCAGAAATAGACATTTTCATTTTTAATTTCCAAACAGTAAAATCCCTAACAATTCCACAGTTTAGTTTGCTTTTAAGATCAATAAATCTCATTTTTAATCATATGGATTAATGATAGTAGTTTTCATATGTAGGCATATTTTCTAACTATCCTTATGCCTGAATTGATTTTAAAAATTTATCTCTTTGCTACCACATATAAAGTCACAGAATAGAAAGAGTTTTTTATGAGTTTTATGACTTTTAGCAAAGGTCAAAATGGGTAGAACTATAGAAAATAACATTAATTGCTCAAGTAATTGGATTTAAATCTCTACTTTTATCTGAGCAACTTCAAATGTAACTTGGCAATAATATACGATAGAAAACCTGTCTTTCATTTTTCTTTTCTATATTGGCAACTTGTAAAACAGCTTAAATTATTTTTTATTTTACGAACAAACTATCATACAATATAATGTTTCCTTAAATCAGCAAATACATACAAATATATGACATATTTAATTGTTCATGCTTGTCTATTAAAATCCTTCTATTCCTAAGTTGATCTGAAGAATATCTGTCAATAAGTGAATGTCAAAGTTTATGCTGTAAAACATACACTATAATGCAATTTTTAGAATAGTGTGAGTATTATATGCATGATGGAGTTCCAATTCAGAACGTATGTTTATCTGTAACAAATATTCTCCAGTCTCTAGTCAGTATGAGAATGTTGTTAAACTTACCTAACATTATAGAATAAATCATATTTTACAAATATATTTGTTTTAGGTTTTATATTTTACATGTATGAATAACTTTTCTTTCTCTTTTTTTTTTTTTTTTTTTTTTGGTCACCAATGTGCAGTCAGATAAAAGAAAACATTAATGTGGATTAAGGTACTGAGAATTTATCAACATCAAACCACTGGTGTTTTGCCTTCTACCCTTCTGAACCATAGTCAATAGATCTAAATATTTTACTGCACCCTGGCCAATTCATTGTTTGATGTTTAAAAACTCACCAAGAATCAAAGAAAATTTATTAAATTTGAGCCCCCAAATGAGATACTATTAGCTTTGAAAGTCAAGTTTAACTGCGATATTGATGATTCTCTTTTTTCTATGACAAAATTCACTAGGGATATCCTGGATGTCAAAGTACAAAAGCAGATTGCGAATACGGACAAAGGCGGGTGAGGGTACTAGGAGCAATGTAGGTATAATCCACAACACAGTGCTAGCACTGGAGGTCCTTTAACCCTATTCACACCAGGTACTACACTTCTGTGAAGCTGGATGAAGCTTACATACAGGAACAGTAAGCCACATTTCGTATTCTCTAAATAAGCTTTCTGAACAAAATTAAGGTGGGGCATTTGGCATTTAAAACTGAAATTTATTATGAAATTAACATTTTCACTACAACATTATTTAATTTGGCAAACCAAAAATTCTTTATTTTAGATTTAAAAACTCAAAATGCAGCTGTTTTGCTAAACCTAATAATGAGTATCATAATTATATTATTTGACTCATGTGCATATGTTAATACTGTTATTTAATTATAAATTATCTGTCAAATGTTGACAGTGCCACCATGATATAAAATAGATGTAATATCACAAATATTTCTACTAAAATTTAAGAATTTTTTCCACTTTTAAATTACAGCAAAACTTTGAGAGCAGGCATCTAAAATGTTCTCCCAATATTTCTAGAAAAAGGTATTTTTTAAATCTTAAAAAAGGATTGGCTAAGAATGACTTTATTTTAATGGGTCAAGGAAGTGAAAGCATCATGTTCAGAGAATACAAAACAGTGACAGTAAGACAAGTAAAAATATAATGGCACAGCAAAGGAGCAAGAAAGAAACATGACAAGGAATGGGGGAAAAAATAGAGGGTAAAAGGGAGACTGGTTCAGAAAGAATGAAGAAGGCAAGTTTGAATTTCAGGGTGTGAACAAGGATAAACAGGGCAGAGATTCAACACAGAACATAGAAAAAGGACTCTCCCCTTATTGCATTAAATTTGTTCATGAAAAAAAAATAGAACAGGCAGGCTGAGAACAAAGCAACTAGAATCAGAAAAGAGATAAGTGGGATTTTTTTAGGAAATACTACCCATTGGATACAAAATGATTCCTTTCAAAAATGAGAATCTAAAGTAAGTTCTTTTACTGTCAAAAGTTTTGAATTAACGATATTAGAACAATAAAATTATTTTTTTCCCTTAAAGGAAAAATGTGTTCACTCTTTAAAATACAGATTTTAATGCAAATTAATGTTAAAATAACCATTGTCACCTGTCCATGGATTATAATTTTACATTTCAAATTCATTTTAAATATAATTTCAAGACAGTTTTAATTCTGTTTACAGCACATCATTACTTATCCTATAATTAAGATACTATACGCTTTTCATTGATTTATTTATAGATGTGAGCGATAAAAAATATATATACAATGTTTTTCTACTTCAACATTGCTAACAGCTCACTTTTAACATTTAATGAATTTTTCATAAAATTTCATAATATAAATCTCAATTGCCAAATTGTATACATTGTTATAACATTCTATAAAAGTTGTACAATTTCATATTTTGACAAAGAATAAAGATAACTATATTACTCCACTCTAAAATTTTGATTTTTAGAGAGTAGTTTACATTCTCCTTTTCTTATTAGTTTCAGAAAACAGATATTTCTAATAGATATACTATACAAGAGATGTACAGAGAAAAATAAATGAAACTTTCTAAGAAGTAAAATATTGTTGCAAAATATATATTTATTTTTTATAGCAATCTAGTTCCAGAATTCAGTGATTCATAAGATCCATGTTGTACTATTCTATTCCTTTGATTAGCCTTTACTTACAAGACACCAACCTGTTTTCTAATTTTCTATACTCCAACCATAACACCAAAAAAGCTATTTCTCCTAGATATATCAACTATTAAATTAAATTAGTCATTTTTAGGAAAGCTGTTCAACTCTCAAAATGTGAAGCTGCATCCTGTATCATGAACAGCTCTAAATTCCTCTGGACCCAATGTTCCAATTAAAAAAAAAAAAAACACCTCATGAAATGTACTACTAGCTATGTTTTTATCAATAATATACCAAGGAGAAGTAGCAAGTAGTAGATCAAAATTCCAGATACACTTAAGAACATGTGTAAGAAAATGTATATAATGCCTGCATCTTGAATGCCTAGGAAATGTAACTGATATTAGGATTCTACATCACATTCTTAATCTATCTAAAATTATATTTTTCTCTAATCTATTATTGTTTCTAATACTTCAAAATAAACATTCTTATCAGAAATATCCCATCAAATACAGACTTCTACAATATTTCCTGTAACCTCCATTCTTACCACTCTGTGTTAGTGTTTTACTTTGCTTCCACATTCCCTGCTTTCCTTTATCCCTATCCTTCCTCTGTACTTCCTTCCATATCCGTTGATACCTTGTTGCATTCCCTTCTCTATCCTAATTTTTTATCCTACACCCTTAGAGCAGCCTATGCCCTATTTTTCAACAAATGTAGTAAAGAGCAGTATGCAGTCGACTCACTACAGCCTAGGAACCAAATTCAGCCCACTGCCTGTTATTATAAATAAAGTTTTATTGGAACACAGCTATGGTCATTCATTTATGTATGTATGTCTTTGGATGCTTTCCTGCTACAATGACAGAGTTGAGTAGAGACAGAAACCATATGGTCCACAAAGCTTAAAATATTTACTATCTGGCTCTTTAAAGAAAACATTGGCCATCTCTGCCTTAGAGGTACAGAAGGAAAGACAGTATTTCTCACCATCTATAAAGTTTCTTAAAATGACCACATCTCACCAGAGAATGTATGAGCAATCTCTAGTAAAGTCAACCTTATATCACTAACACAGAGTGTCATCTCAGACACTTTCTGGCTCCTTTTTCCTAGTGTTTCATAAAATAAGTGTACTAACTCCTGATGTATTTTGAAGTTCACATAATCTAGTATACAACTTGACTGAGTCTCACTTTCCTGGCACAACTACTGATCACCAATTCTTATATCTAATCAACAGAAAATTTGGTTAAACAAGTAAAATAGTCATACTGGAGAGCCTTTTGTAAATAGAAAAACAAATGAATCCGCCAGTTAAAT